CGTAGGGAGGGCTGTTGACAAATACATGTCGCAGCTGCAGAAGAAATGGGATGGAGCATTGCTGTGGTCAGCTTCTGCGACACAGACTCATGCTGAAGCCCTGATGTTAGCTAGCTGCACAGCACCAACCCTCCTGACTTCCCTGCTCCCCAGTTTTGACCTATCTCCTGTGCCCTTGCAACTGGGAGATGAGCTGTGGGGCTGCTGGTGGAAACGCTCTGTTTTTCTCTGAGTGAAGGTGCTTTTATTTCCACTTCATTCTTGAAGGAAATACTCGCTGTCTATAAACTTTTAAAAATAGCTATTTCTTTCAGTATGTTTAGAGACACCTTTCCATTGTCTTCTGTCTTCCCTGGTTTCTGTTGAGTAGTAGTAACTGTAAGGCTTCTGGGTCTTGGGGGTTTTGTTCTTTGCTCTTTAAAGGTGATGCCTATTCCCCACCCTCCCCCCACCCCCTCACCCAGCTGTTTTTAAGATTTTTCGCTATAGTTTTGGTTTTCAGCAAACATACTATAGTGTGCTTAGGTGGGGTTTCATTCGTATTTGTCTGTTTGGGGTTTGTAGCAAGTTATTAAGATAATTGGTCATGGTCTCCAAACATCGCTTTTTGCCTCCTTCTTTCTCGTGTCTTCGTGGAACTACAAACTGCCCATGTTTTACATCTTTTTAGATCTAAAATAGAATCTCCTATGGATTTTATGTTCTTTGTAACATTCTCCACTCTTCTGCCTCTAAGTGCTTCATTCTGTTTATTTCCTTCTGACTTCTGTTCTGGTTCACTGATTTTTTTTTTTTTTTATGATGTCTAGTATGTTGGTACACCCGTCTGTTGAGTTCTTAATTTTAATTATTTGCTCTTTAGTTTTATTTTTTTATTTTTTTGAGTTATTTATTGATTTTGAAAAGGGGGGGCAGAGAGAGGGAGAGAGGGAGAATCCCAAGCAGGCTCCACACTGTTAGCACAGAATCCAAGTCAGGGCTCGAACCTGCAAACCATGAGATCATGACCTGAGCCAAAATCAAGTTAATCAGTGCTTAACTGAATGGGCCACCCAGGTGCCCTTGCCCTTTAGTTTTAGAATTTCTTTTTTAGGTTCTAGGTTTTTGCGAACATTTTCTGTCTTGTTTTTATTTCCTTGAACATGTTAGGCATTCTTGCTTTAAAGACTGTGTCTGAAAACTTTTGGTATCTGCGTCTCCGTTGTATCTGTGAAAGACCTGTGTCAGAATCCCTGTGGGTCTCTTTTTGTTGTCCATATTTCATTGATTTTTTATTTATCCTTGTGTTCTCAGCCAGATTGATTGAATGCTCACCGTTGCGTATGAAAAACTCCAGAGATAATATAAATCCTAGGATAATGTTGTCTTCCTCAAGATATAATTTACATTTGCTTCTGGGAGTTCCAGATCATTTTAATTTGCACAGGGATTGAAGTGATTCAGAGCTAGGCTTCAGTCTCTGAGGTCAGTGTCTTTCCATTTAGTTTTATCCCAAACAAGCTTGTGTGTGTGTGTGTGTGTGTGTGTGTGTGTGGTTTCCAGGCCTCCCTTTTCCTAGTTGGGTCCTGATCTTCAGTTTTTATCCCCCTAGTTCTGGGATCAACAGATGCCCCCAGGTTGGGAAAAGAGTGCCCCAAACGTCAGGCTTACCTTCCCGGGTTTCATCCTTCTCCCAGACCCTGCCGTCCTAATTCTTTACTACCTTGTTAGCTCTCTGATTCTTCTAAACGGATTAAAAACACACACACACACACATGTTTTGTACAGGTTTTCTTGTTATTCACCTTGGGAGTTAGGTCTGAATTGCCCATTGTGTCATTATCAGAAGTGCACCCCTCCTCCACTCAGCCAAGGATTTTATTATCTTAAATCCAGCAGGGATGTTTAGAAGTCTCTAGAAAAGAACATTAACATGATTTAAGCGGTATTTTAGGAAATTTAAGATGTCAGTGGTATGCAAAGCAGACAGGAGTTGGGAAAGGCTCAGTACGTAGAACGGTTAAAAGACCATCATAACTGAGTGCTTTCTAGAGTAAGAAAAAAAGCAGGTGTTAGGGTTTCTGAATCTGGGCATTTCAGAGAGACATGAATGAAAGCCTTGGCTCTGCTACTTACTAGCAGGTTGCATTGAACAGTTCCTTTACCTGTCCTCTCATCTATGATATGGAATTTTAAAGTCCCTGCCTTCTAGGGTTATAAAAATTACATGAGGAACTCCTAGAAAACTCTGGTTTTAAGACTTGGCATATAGTATGTGCTCAGTAAATAGTAGCCATTTCTGTTACCATTCCAAGATCCAAACTTCAGTGATTCAGGTTAAAATTCAAGATCACTGTTAATGGCCCTAAGCAGGACCATAACAGTGTCATCTTCATGGGGGCTGTTCACTTGCTATGAGTTCAGTCACTGTGTTCCAGGAAATAGCTTGTTTGCGTTTATGCAGCATTGCGGTGCCCTAAATACCCGCCATGTACTGAACTGATTTATAGGCTGATTCCATGGTTTTTAGAAAGTGCCTTTTGTCGGGCTTGATGGTAGATGCTCTGTATTTTAGGTTTATGGAACCTCAAGACTTCAGCGTTTCACTTTTAAATTAAAAAAAATTTTTTTAATGTTTATTTTTGAGACAGAGAGAGAGAGAGAGAGAGAGAGAGAGAGAGAGACAGAGCATGAGTGGGGGAGGGGCAGAGAGAGAGGGAGACCCAGAATCCGAAGCAGGCTCCAGGCTCTGAGCTGTCGGCACAGAGCCTGGCGAGGGGCTCAAACTCGCCAACTGTGAGATCGTGACCTGAGCCAAAGTCGGACGTTCAACCGACTGAGCCACCCAGGCACCCCAGCATTTCACTTTTAAAAACAACCCAGTGTACAAGAATAGATAGAAGCTTACCAAAAAAAGATACATCAGATGATGAGCCTTCATGTTACAAAAGGATTCCTGGAGTCATGGATAACTTGGCATATTATCTTTTTGAAACCTCTTCATTTTCCTAGATGATCGAAGTGTGGACCGGAGGGTTTGAGTGACTAGTGCAAGGGCACCCGCTAATAATGGCAAAGTCAGGACTGGAACACAAGTGTGTTGATTTCTGGCATACTTTGGTTTTCTTGACAAAAATAGCCCCTCTGTGTCTTTTCTAACCAGTCCTGTGCCTTCCTCAACTCTGTTAGAGTTTCATATGGGCCATGGGAACTGGTGCCTACAGGAAACTTGCCTTACAGAAGGAAGACCAATCTGTCACTGTGAATTTCCTGGACAGAAGCTGGAAAATACATGCCGAGTAAGCATCTTTTCTCCGTATTCAGTCTCTGACCCTCTGTGACTGCCTTTTAATCTCTAGAAGTATAATTTATTTTTAGTTCACACTAAATGATGAGTTTCTGGGGCTAAGCCCAGAAGAGAATTCTACTTTTGCTTCTTTCACAGAAGTCAGGGTGCACACTCAACTTCTGATCGTCATGGGAAATCTGTGTCAATAACACCTGTTTTCTTCCGTGTCATGTGGCAACACCACTGGTAATTCATTACTTTTTTAGTGGGGGAAGTGGGGCCGGGCTATAAAATCAAGTATAAATAGAGGAAGTATCTTCAGGTAAAAGGATCGGGTTTTTCTTGTTTAACATCAGGGATGTCCTAGCTGTTTAAAACATAACAAAACATAGAAACTGAAATAAGTGAACCCTTTAAAAAAATTTTTTTAATGTTTGTTTATTTATTTATTTTTTTTCAACGTTTATTTATTTATTTTTGGGACAGAGAGAGACAGAGCATGAACGGGGGAGGGGCAGAGAGAGAGGCAGACACAGAATCGGAAACAGGCTCCAGGCTCTGAGCCATCAGCCCAGAGCCTGACGCGGGGCTCGAACTCATGGACCGCGAGATCGTGACCTGGCTGAAGTCGGAGGCTTAACCGACTGCGCCACCCAGGCGCCCCAATTTATTTATTTTTTTAAGAGAGTGTGAGAGGGGCAGAGAGAGAGGGAGGCACGGAATCCGAAGCAGGCTCCAGGCTCTGAGCTGTCCGCACAGAGCCTGATGTGGAGCTCGAACTCGCAAACTGGGAGATCGTGACCTGAGCTGAAGTCGGATGCTTAACCGACTGAGCCACCCAGGCGGCCCAAGTGAAGCCCTTTGTAACAGAATTTGTCCTACTCTGATAAGGCAATACTTGCATGTGTTTGCTTTTCCTACAGACCTGCTTATGATTAATGACAGTCCTGATTAAAGATTTAGAAAATGTTTTACATGTGTAATTTCCATAGCATTTTGGCTCGGTAAGTAATAGCGTGAGGTTTGTTAGAAAGGTGTAGAATGTGAATGAATAAGGGATGAACCAGAACCTGAGACGCTAAGACCGGTGGAGGAGGTCTGTCTGACAGAATGACCAGACTGTGCAGGAAGTCACAGAAGAGCAGGTGGCTGATAATTAAAAGTAAAAGGCAATCTAGAGCCTTGCTCCTTCGAGTCTGGTTCCAGGACCCAAGAGTTTATTAGAAAAATGGAATCACGGGTGCCTGGGTGGCTCAGTCAGTTAAGTGTCCGACTCTTGATCATGGCTCAGGTCACGATCTCACGGTTCATGAGTTTAAGTGCTGTGTCGGGCTCTGTGTGCTGACAGCACGGAGCCTGCTCGGGATTCTCTGTCTCCCTCTCTGTCTGCCCCTCCCCTGCTCGCTCTCTCTCTCTCTCTCTCTCTCTCTCTCAGTATAAATAAATAAACTTAAAAAAAGAAACGTAGACTCACAGGGCTTCATCTTCCAAATGAAGATTTGTGTGCACATTGAGGCTGGTGAGCCCTGGTCTGGATTCTGTAATCCACTCTTACCTTTCCTGTTAACAAAATGGATCATGGCATTTATCTGCATCAGTCTCCAGTTTCCCCTTCAGTCTTGGGATGATGGCCACAGGCCCAGGCATGGTTTTCTAGGCCCCGCGGGACCGGCCTGTGTCTGGCACCCTCTCTCTTGCTGACTGCTTCCTAGTATCATTCTGTACCCAGGACTCTTCATTTGGTATGGAAATGTCTTCTTACCTGTTTCCTGTTCGGCTGGGAGTTCCTAGATGCTAGAGGATGTCTTACCTTTTCCTGTTCCTGGAGTATCGTTCTCAATAAATGTCTCTGAGTGGGTGGATGAATGAAAGCGAGTGGAGTGACTTCAGGGCCATTAAGAACCGCTGTGTTGGGAGCTCCTTTGGGCCTGTCCCTGAGGCTCCTCTTACGTGTCTCAAAGAGTGGCCCAGAGCCTCCACGGGAGCGGATGGGGGCCAATCTGCGATGGCAGCCCAGCCTGGCACACCTTTCGAGCTGGCCTGGATCTTGTTTGAATATCTCCTGCGTGGAAGGCAGCGTTCGGGCTTTGTAGGAATATAAAAGACCTATGAGAGGTAGAATTCCTCCTCTCAAAGAGCTTACGGGTTGGTCAGGGAGAGGGCGGGTATGCAGTGGGAAAGTTTATAGTTAAGGTAAGAGTTGGATAAGAATAAAGACAGCAGAGAGCCGCCCTAAAGCAATGTTTGATTCTCAAAGGAGAGCAGCAGCGTAAGATCAGTGACTGTTGGGGAAGTCCGGGAGGGGAGGGATTTATTCAGGCTGGAGTGGTTCCGGGAGGCCCATGGAGGAGGAGGGTCTTGGAGGCTGGGTCAGGATGGACAAGGCCGGGGAGGGAGGAGCAGAGAGCATGGTGTGTTGAGAGAGCAGAGCCCGAGGCATCTGCAACTGTGAGTGCATCTGAACTGGGAGAGGTGTGCAAGGGAAATGCAGGTTCTAGAATGTAATTAGGCTCGAGAGGCCAAGGACGCGGTCCCACCTGGTTCACGTGGTGATGCTTGCACTCTGGCATGAGCTGGGGGAGGCACAGAGGAGAGAAGTCCTCAGCAAGCTGCAAGAGAGTGTAACTGAAACTTCGCCCATCTCAATGCAAATTCATCTCGGTAGAATTTTCAGAGCTCGTTTTTGGAGGAGGAAATGAGTAAAAGAAGGAAGATGCGACGAGGGGTTGAAAAGAGGATAATGTCACACTGCCCGTGAAGCTTTATAGAGCGGGGGCTTGAGTTGGCCTCCTCTTTGCTTTTGAATCCCATCTCACATTTAGATTGGTGTGCAAACAGGATGAAGGAGTGGCAGGCAGTACTTTGTTAGTGATTCCACTCTGGATGTTTTAAGTGGGCAAGGGAAGAAAGAGTATCTAGAAAGGTATCTGGAAGGAGGGGAGAGAGGCCTTATGTGGGCTGGTAGAGGAACCGCGTTGAGACCATGCAGCTGTTTGCAGAGGGAAGGGGAGGGTGGTCTCAGGGCAGGGGGGGTGGGGTGCCGTGCACGCTTGTAAAGGAAGACCGATGAGGGAGGGGCAAGAGAATGCATTAGTCGGCGCAGAGCTGAAGCCAGAGCAAGATGCTGCTGCGCCCTGGAAGCCGACAGGGTATGTCCGAACGGGAGAGCTCGCTGGTGAAAGACCTTGGAGCCAAGTGAACTGATTCTTTTAGGCTTTATTTTATTTATTTATTTATTTTTTAAACGTTTATTTATTTTTGGGACAGAGAGAGACAGAGCATGAACGGGGGAGGGGCAGAGAGAGAGGGAGACACAGAATCGGAAACAGGCTCCAGGCTCTGAGCCATCAGCCCAAGAGCCTGACGCGGGGCTCGAACTCCCGGACCGCGAGATCGTGACCTGGCTGAAGTCGGCCGCTTAACCGACTGCGCCACCCAGGCGCCCCTCTTTTAGGCTTTAAAGTGCAAAGATCGGGGGTTCAAAGCATTTTGGCAGCCCAGATTCCCAGAAGCAATGAATTGGTTCTAAGAACTCTTACCCACAACTGTTTTGCCCTGTCCATCGTGGGCTCTTAGAAGGATAATGCCCAGAGGTATTTGTAAGATACCGGTCCTCCCATTACCGGCCTGGTAATACACGGAAGGCGTCTGCTATAAACACGGCCAGGTTGGGGCGGGGGGCTTAAGACCTTGCGTTAGGCCAGGTCACTCAGGGCTGTCCGGGCCTTTGAGCCCGCAGAATTTCTGCCAGCCCAGGCGTCCTACGTCCCTGGAACCGTCTCCGCCAAGAGCAGGCCTGGCTCAAACCACTGACCCACTGAGCCGGCTCCTGCGGAGTAAGCGTGCCCAGGGTGGGCAGGTGGGCTCGATGCAGAGCCCCCAGTGCCCGCCCTAGCCCTCCAGTCCCCATGTACACATCAGCTGCGTGGTTTTGGGCAAAGGAGGGGGATCGTGGAGGACGGTCAGGCAGGGGTCTAGAACTTTCTAGTGCAGACATGGCAGGCAGTGGCAGAATTGCCTAATAACTGTGCTTCTCTTTGCAGAAGGGTACCATGCCCGTGGAAAGGATGCGAATGCGCCCATGGCTGGAGGAACAGATAAATTCAAATACAATACCGGGGCTGAAGTGGCTTAACAAGGTAAGTATGTTGGGTGCTTGTGTGTGTGTGTGTGTGTGAGAGAGAGAGAGAGAGACAGAGAGACAGAGAGAGAGGAGGAGGAGGAAGAGGAGGAGGAGGGGGTCCTTACTAAAACCACATTCATATAGACTGCCAGAAAGTAAAATTGTATTCCTTGTATTCAGAATCTGATGCTTGTTAATTACAAAACCAACCCACCCAAAATGATCTGTGTTTTTCTTTAATGATTCTTACCCTCTTCCTTCTCTGAATTTTTCTCTGGCTTCTCCTGGCTTTCTAGGATCAGAGGACGTGGAAATTCTTGGGTTTTACATTGGGAATGGAGCATATTGGCTTTCTTCTCAGTATTCTCTATGGAGAAGACTTTTGGTTTTGTCTTTAAGAACATCTCTTTCTTTTTTTTTTTTAAGTTTATTTATTTATTGTTTGAGAGACAGAGACAGTATGAGTGGGGGAGGGGCAGAGAGAAAGGGCAAGAGAGAGAGAATCCCAAGCTGGCCCTGCACTGCCAGCACAGAGCCTGATGTGGGGCTCTGACCTATGAGACAGCAAGATCATGACCTGAGCCGAAACCAAGAGTCGGACACTTAACCAGCTGAGTCACCCAAGTGCCCCTGTCTTTTCTTTTTATTGTGAAACACCGTGTGCCTACTTGTCCTAAAAAAGTAGTCTGTCGTTTACAACCCACACATATACATAAATACTCTCTGACTTTATCAACCCCAAACTCTCAATCTAATTGATCCTACCTGTTGGGAGTGAATCAGGAAGAGAGCGGATGTCAAAATAAAGAACACCTGAAAATATATAGTTAACAGCTAGAAAAGCATCTAACATATCACGCTGTCTTTCAGAGGGCCCAAGAGAGAAGTTTCTCTCCCCCTACCAGGAATATCTCAGTTCTTCTGAGTAAATTTCCTTTTTCTCTTCTGCCTCCCCACTCATTTTAATCTTAAGGACCCAATGAATAATTCAGCTGGTCAGGCTTCATCTTTTATCGCATGGTTGAGTGCTTAGAGCCTGATTGTGCCCTCTTCTCACAAGTGTGCAGGATACTACAGCATGATTGTGTTGACTAAGATCACTCCTGGCTTCATCTTTGCTTTTCAGATAGCTGTCAAGCCTTACTTCTTTTTTCCTCATCCACTTTTTTGGTTCCCTTATTTTAAATGTATTGTATTTGAGTGCATCGGTTTCAGTGGGTCCTTTCTGAAACAAGGTGGGGTAAAAAGTAAATAGAAATCGCTTAAGTAAACCATATGTCCACTTCATGGGAGCTGTCGTGTATCTTAACGTCGCATGGCAAATAAAATGTTTTTCTAGGCTTGCTGTATCTCTAGCGTTTTAGATTTGTATCCTGGAGGGGTTTTGTAATTAGCCTGCTCCAAATAAATCAGGTTGGGCCTTGGCCTCCGTGGTCAGCAGGGGCACAAGTGGAATTATAAGGAGAGGGGAGTTGAAGAAATGTGGGGTACTCAATAACAATAGTAACAACAGCTACTCCTTTAAGCAAGATACGTGCATGAGCTCACGTAATCCCCACAATGGGGTAGATACTGTTAGGTTTTCCATTTTACAGACCAGGAAGCCAAGGTGCAGAGTCATTAAGTAGGATTATATTAAAAAAATTTGTTTTTAATGTTCATTCATCTTTGAGAGAGACAGAGACAGAGACAGAGAGCTGGTAGTGGAGGCACAGAGAGAGAGGGAGACACAGAATCCAAAGCAGCCTCCGGGCTCTGAGCTGTCAGCACAGAGCCCGACGTAGGGCTCAGACTCACGAGCTGTGAGATCATGACCTGAGCGGAAGTTGGAGGCTTACCCAACGGAACCACCCCGGCACCCTGGTAGGAGTATGTTTTAAAGAACAAGGTAACTTTGCCTATATTGATCAGAGTGCGAAATTAACACAGAAGTTCCTGATTTCTGATTTCTGAAGAGAAGTAACTTTTTTTTTTTTCTCGTACAAAAACATATCCACCAGTTTGGCTGGCTTGATGCAGTGGCAAACTTCACATGTCATTGCGTCCCCTGTATGAGTAGGCACTTGATATGGTGCAGTGAACTGTCTTTTTAGTAGGGCTGAATTGTGCCCCCACCCCCCTGCAAACCATATATCTACTTCCTTACCCCCGGAACCTGTGGATGCGTCCTTGCTGAAAGAAAGGGTCTTCGGGAAAAGTTAAAGATCTCAAGATGAGCTCCAGCTGGGCCAATGCGGTGACAAGTGTCTATAGAAGAGGCGGAGAGGAGAAGACCCACACAGAGCAGAAGACGGAGTGAAGACAGAGGCAGAGATTGGAGAGACGGATCCACTAAGCCAAGGAGCGCCTGACCCCACCCGAAGCTGGACGTGTCAAGGGAGGACTGTCCTTACAGCCTCTGAAGGAGATGCGACCCTGCTGACCTCTTGGCTCTGGGTTTCCGGCCTCCAGCACGGTCCTGGGCTGTACGCTGCCCCGTCTATGGCAGTTTGGGGACAGCCTGTGAGAAGCAAATCCACCCTCTTGGGACTGCTTCCTCACCGGGACTCCACCGCGACACCTTTTCTTCCATCTACTTCGTCCGTGATTTTCCTGAGAGAGGACCGCAAAGGAAATGGATTCTTCTCTGTGCAGCGAACGCTCCACCCCTGTCAGGTGGCCCTCCCCGTTGAGCTCCGCTCAGCTGGCTCCTGGCTTGTGAGTGCTCTTCCCTGGCGGAGCGGGGAAAGGAGACCCCTCGGCCGCCTCCGCCTCGTCTGGCCCCGCTGCTGGCCCTCCGCCTGAGCGGCCGTGGCTGTCGCAGTGAGGCCTCTGAGGCACAGGAGGCCGCGTGCGCCCTGGGGACCGGTCATTCGGGCCGCCCACCCGCCTGGGCAGAGCATCTGCAAGGTTGTCTGTGTGCTCAGCCTGTCACCGGCACTGTGCACCTCGGGTGGCATCAGGACCTTTTCTCTCCGTACCTCCACCTCCTCGGGGCATCTTTATCTAGGTTTCTGCTAACTTAGGCTTTGGCATTCGTCTGCCCACCTGAATATTTGAGACCTTGCTGTTCTTTCCTTCTTCACAAGCATTCTGCCTGAAATTCCTGCTTGCGTTCTGTGGCTTGAGGTCGTCGTAAAATCTCTTCTCCTGCTGAAGACTGGTGGGGACTCTTAGAAAACGGCCCTGTCCGCGGGGCTCTGTTACTCACTTAGGCCTTAGCTGCGTTGTTCAGAATGTGTTGGCGTTGATGGGGGCGTACCCCGTGCTGGAAGGCCCTGGAGGGCAGGCCAGGGAGGTCTCGGTTGTTACTGCTCGCTGGCTGTGTGCTGGGCCTCCCTCCCGCCTGTTACTTTTTTTAATATTTGTGTAGAAAGAGGAGGGGGAGGGGCAGAGGAAAAGAGAGAATCTTAAGTAGGCTCCATAATCAGCATGGAGCCCTCTGGGGGGCTCGATCCCACAACCCTGGGATCATGACCTGAGCTGAAATTAAGAGTGGGACACTCAACGGACTGAGCCACCCAGGCATCCCAGGGCCGACTGAGCCACCCAGGCACCCCAGGGCCCGTTACTTTTTATTAGGAGCATTTGCACACATACACAGTAGGTTTAAATGGTATAATGGCTAGAGAGAAGAGTGTAGCAAAATCCCGTGTAGTTTTAAAACTTGCCTCTAGATGTAACCATTATTAACATTTGTTAAAAATGTTTTATTTATTTTTGAGAGAGCGAGCGCGAGCAGGGAGGGCAGAGAGAGAGGGGGAGGCAGAAGATCGAAGCAGGCTGCACGCTGACAGCTGGCTGACAGCAACCTGATGTGGGGCTCAAACTCACGAACCGCGAGATCATGACCTGAGCCGAAGTCAGGCTCTCAACCAACTGAGCCATCCAGATGCCCCAACAATTGTTAACATTTAAAAAATTTGTGTGTGTGTGGTATTTGAAAGCAACTCCCTGACAGCATACATGTATAAGACTTAAAACCATTTTCTATATGTTCACCATACCGTTATCAATTGTGTAACCATAAATAAATCATAATTAATCGTAATTTTTTAACATCATCACTGCACCGTCCATATCCGAAATGCCTCGACTGTTCCCAAAATGTGTTTCTACAGTTGATTTGTTCAGTCAGAATCCAGAGAAGGCTCACAGGTTGTGTTTGGTTGGTCTGATTCGAAGTGTCTCCTGATTGTCATGATAATGATCGGTAGCTCCTCCTTTTTTTTCCCTTTTTGCCATTGACTTGTGGAAGAGACCAGGTCATTTCTGGATAGGTCCAAACGCTTGTTTGTGGTTTCTCTGGGCCATTTTTTGAGGAGGGAAGGAGGCAGCCACATCCAGGCTCGTTGTTTGCTTTGTAGCTCTGATTGATTCCCACTCTGGTTCTTGGAGTTCTCATTTCATGTGGGAGACCTACCTGGACCCCGGGGCCAAGGCCACTCTCCGAGCGTATGGTGTCCCTAGGTAGTTTCAGACCTTATCCTTTCATTCACAAGCAGGCTTGTGTTTATATAAATATCAGTCCACCTCAGATCAAGGTAAGGAGTCCAAACAAAAATAGCAGAGTAGATTGGAACATCTTATAGACAGTGGAGGAGAGAAGAAGCAGAGGAAGTTAAACGAGCTAGTTTCCACTTGGGGCCAAGGTATGTTTGTTCTGCATTACTCAAGATAATCTTAAATGTTCTTCTCAGTTCAAGCAGTGCTTCTCTCTCTTGGCCTCAGGTAGGTAGGCAGAGTCCTCTCTCTGTATAAGCACTGGTAGAGTCTGTAACATGCCATCCTTCCATACATGGTAGGCACATCCTATGTGGAGGGGACACTCAGGGCTTCTCATAGCAAGTACTGATGTCCCAGAGTCTACACAGACATGGAGCAATGTCATTATCACCTTTGGGACATAAAGATCTATGACCAGAATGTTTACTCGTCAGAATCTCTTCCAGTGCATTACATTTTTTTTTAATGTTTTTATTTTTGAGAAAGAGAGAGAGCGAGTATGAGTGGGAGAGGGGCAGAGAGAGAGGGAGACACAGAATCCAAAGCAGGCTCCAGGTTCTGAGATGTCAGCACAGAGCCCAATGCGGGGCTCAAACTCACAAGCCACGAGATCATGATCTGAGGCGAAGTCGGGTGCTCAACTGACTGAGCCACCCAGGTGCCCCCAGAATCTCTTCCAGTTTTAAAATGAGTCTCCCCTTCTTTATCTTTTAACATAGTCTTAAAAAAAAAGATATATGTGATATGTTTATTAGTTGTTTATTTTTTGCAACAGGAAAAAGTAGTTAAAAGTGACATGTAGTTTTTTGGGGATACCTGGGTGGCTTAGCGGGGTAAGTGTCCAACTCTTGATCTCAACTCAGGTCATGATCTCATGGTTTGTGAGATCAAGCTCCTCGTTGGGCTCTGTGCTGACAGCATAGAGCCTGCTTAGTATTCTCTCTCCCTTTCTCTCTGCCCCTCCTCCACTCACACTCTATCTCAAAGTAAATAAATACACTTTTAAAAAGTTACATGTATTTTTTTTAATTTACCACTTTAACCATTTTAAAATGTACAATTCAGTGGCATTAAGTATACTCACAATGTTACGCAACCATCGCCACTACAACTCCAGAATTTTCATCACCCCAAGAGAACGACACTGTGCCCGTTAAGCAGTCACTTTCCATTGCAAGGCACTGCAAATCCTTTCCTTGTGCAAGGCATCAACTAGTCTGCTTTCTGTCTCTTTGGATTCGCCTTTTCTGGTCATTTCATATAAATGGAGCCATTCAATAGGTGGCCTTTTGTAGAAGGCTTCTTTCACTTAATGTAATGTTCAAGGTTCATTCATGTTGTATCTTGTGTCAATAGTACATTCCTTTTTGTGGCTGAATAATATTCCATTTAATGCATGTACAATATTTTCTTTATCCATTTATCAGTTGATGGACATTTGGCTGTTGTGAGTAGCACTGTTTTGAACATTCATGTATAAATATTTCTTTGAACACCGGTTTGTGATTTTTTTGAGTGAAATTACTGGGTCATGTGAGAACTCTGTGTTTAACTTTTTGAGGACTAGCCAAACTGATTTCTACTGTGTCTACCCTATTTGACATTCCCACCAGCAGTGTGTGAGGGTTCCAGTTTCTCCACATCCTTACCAATAACTTACTACTTGTTTTTTGATTTTATCTAGCCATCCTGGGGTAGGAAGTGGTATCTCATTGTTGTTTTGATTTGCATTGGCCTAATGATTGGTGATGCTAGGGGTCTTTATGTGCTTATTGGCCATGTTATTTATCTGCTTTCAACAAAGGTCCATTCAGACTCTTTGCCTATTAAAGAGGATCTAGGGCTCCATGGTGGATAATTGCTAGGTTTAGTCATTTTGTTTGTGGTTTTGTGATTTGGGCATAATTTCTGTGGTACTAGGTTTGGTAGGGTGTGTGTGTGTGTGTGTGTGTGTGTGTGTGCGCGCATGCGCGCCTGCATGGACACAAATGCTTGAGAAGATCTATATACCAGAATCCTTTGTGCTTAATGAGATAGATTTCAGCTTGGGTGACTGACCTCCAGAACTCCTTGGACCTACAGAAAGGTGCAACAGCAAATTCCATGAAGGGTTTAGGTCTTTAAGCATAAGCCTTTGGATCCTGGTTGTTCTCTTGAGGAGAAGTTGTTTCACTGAAATAAATTTCTTTTCCTTTTTTTTTTTCCATTTTCATGTGAACATCAAAAATGACATTAAAATGATTTTGCCCTCTGATTTTCATCTATATTAAAAAATAAAATTTCACTCAGACCTTTGCTCATCACTGCCCTTTGGAGACAGCTAACCTGAAACCATGCAATCTCAGTGGATGATACAGAATGAACAAGGAGGGGTTTATGAAAAGCCTCTGACTTTCAGTTCTTTTTAATTTTAACAGGTTTTGGGGAACTCTCAAATGTTCTGAAATATTTTTAGTTCAGGCTTTGTGATTGGCTCTATAGAGCGGCACTGAGTCCCTTTTGGGTCAGTTGGGACCCTTTCTGTCTTTCGTTGTATGAAACCAAGGTGGTGGAAAATCCCTACTGACATCTTCTTCCCTTCCCCAGTGTATTGTGCAAGGATCTCCATACCTAGAAACTACCAGAACTACCTTTAGGGCTTCAAAAAATATAGTTTTCCTGGGCTTTGTTTGCACAGAATCCAAGACAGCAGATGCGTCATAGGATTGGAAATCTGAATCTGACCACTGGGAGACAATGTGTGATGTGATTAAGTGATGGTGGGATCACGTGACGTGGTTTTGAATTCAGACACTACAGTAATTTCCTTGGCTATAGAATGTAATTCTGTTCCTCAGTTTCCTCAACTGTGAAAGAGAAATAATAACATGTGGAGCTCCGTAGGTTCTCACAGAGAACAAAACTGAGACCATGGGAACACGTGGACAGTCAGATGTAAAGTGCCATGGGAACACAATAATTGCTGGTCCTGTCCAGTCACGGGCATGGCTTTGTTTCCAAAGCTCTGGTTTCTAATCCTGTGTTTGCCAGGGTTGATTCCAGCTATTCTGAGTTGCCTCTCGGGCTGTAAGAGAGGTGGAAGGGGTCTACTGTGAGAATTGCACTGAGAGACTTCTCCAGAAAAGTAGTATCATCTCTGCACACTCAATACGTCTTTGTTTGTACATCTTGATGTTCCATGCAGGGCAGTAGACACTTAGGGGTTAGGACATTAGACCACATCTTCAATTTCTGTTGGCTGCACAAGTAGATTGAGGTAGTTAGTCTCTGTGCCAGTGACCCCAGATAACCCTGATTTCCCTTTTAGCAGCACAGATGGGTGTCATTTTGGAAAGTTGCCTACTTTTTAATTTGCCTGAGGCAACCAGAGTTCCTCTTTGGCAAATGATGGAAACCAATGGTAATAATAAGCATTAGAAGTTGCAGTCAGTGACCAGTTATATGTGGTCCTTTAAGGAAAAATGACGCAGGTAACAGAACGCATTGTCATATCCCCAGATCATCACGTTGACCTTGGAGTACATTCCTATGCTGCCAGACTCCACATGACTCTGAATCTTTCCCGAATAGGCCATCAAGATTTGGGGCCCAGTGGGGAGGTGCGTTTACTAGTGGATTTTACTGCAGACACTTAGCAAACCCAGTGACACTTAGTAGAGAATCTTACTAGCCAGGACTTACAAACCTCCCGCAAAGGTGGCCTGAACCCCGTGGTTGCAGTTGCTTTTTTGCTTTTGTTTTTCAGGAAAAGAAGATTTTCCAGATCCCTTGGATGCATGCGGCTAGACATGGGTGGGATGTGGAAAAAGATGCACCACTCTTTAGAAACTGGGCCATCCACACAGGTAGCAAATGCCCCGCATCATCTCTAGAGGCAGACGCTGTTGTCGGTTGTTGCTTACATGTCTTCTTTTTCTCTTTCTTTCTTTCTTTCTTTCTTTCTTTCTTTCTTTCTTTCTTTCTTTCTTTTTATTTATTCTCAAGAGAGAGACAGACAGAGACAGAGTATGCGTGGGGGAGGGTCAGAGAGAGAGGGAGACACAGAATCTGAAGCAGGCTCCAGGCTCCCCGCTGTCAGCACAGAGCCTGACGTGGGGCTCGAACTCCCAAACTGTGAGGTCATGACCTGAGCCAGAGTCGGACACTTAACCGACTGAGCCACCCAGGCACCCCGTTTTTCTTAAATTGAGGTATAGATTGACAAAATTGTGAGACATTTAAGGCGTACAATGTGATGATTTGATGTATGCACCGTGAAAGGATTTCCCCCCCATCAAATTAATGAACCCACCAGTCACTTCTCATATTTACCTTTAATTTTTGTTTTTGGTGAGAACACTGACATTCTATTCTCTTAGCAAATCTCGATTTTACAGTAATACAGTGTTAACCATCGTTTTGTGTTTTTTTTTCTCACTGTACATATATGGCTTATGGCTTCGTGAAGATAGCTCTGAAAAGCTGGTGACGTGTCCCCAGGCACATCCAGGACACGTGGGGTACACACTTCATCATTCAGAAGTGATGCCGTGCCTGTGCTGGGGAAACTTAGTCCTTCAATTTCCTGTAAATGTGGGATTCTGACCATGGCTCACTAGGTGTGCACCAGGGGAATATAGAACTTATTTGTTCTTGCAGCTAAGCTTGAGTTGGATTTATCTGTCCAAAGGGTAGTCAAGGATATATTTATTTATTAAAGTTTATTTATTTATTGTGAGAGAGAAAGAGCGAGGAAAGGGCACAGAGAGAGAGAGAGAGAGAGAGGGAGGGAGGGAGGAAGGGAGGGAGGGAGGGCGGGAGAGAATCCCAAGCAGACTCCATGCTTTCAGAACAGAGCCCGACGCGGGGCTCAGTCCCGTGAACCGTGAGATCGTGACCTGGGCCGAAATCAAGAGTTGGACATTTTATAACAAAACTTCAGTAGGGAGCCGTTTACAGGAATCGGCGCTCTGATTAATATTTGAGTCAGATGAAAAGGAGACACTCCGGTTATCTGGGTTTGTTGGCCTCCTGGCCTTCCAGCCTTCTCTGTTACGTACCTTGATTCTCCTTTGTTCTACCGTCATGAGGGTTTTCTCAAGCTGTTTGCTAGAGCCAGGGTGACCAGTTTGTCCCAGTTTTCCCAGGACTGTCCAGATTCTAAAACAAAAATCCTCACGTCCCAAGAATTCAGTCCCAGTCCCAGGCAGACTAGGATGGTTGGCTGCTGTAAGTAGAGCCTGGAATCAAAAGGGTTCTCTGCACTACCTAGCCAGCATTCCTGTGTTTCCAGGCATTTTTACTCTATATCTTCCCCCTCTTTTTCTTTTTTTTTTAATACTTTTTTTTTAAATATTTACTTTGGAGAGGGGTGGGGAGGGCAGAGAGACAGAGACAGAATCCTTAGCAGGCTCCAGGCTCTGCGCTGTCCGCACAGAGCCCGACGTGGGGCTCGAACTCACAAACCCTGAGATCAGGACCTGAGCTGAAGTCGGGCGCGCAACCGACCGAGTCACCCAGGCGCCCCTTCCCCTCTTTCTCTTAACCTTCATTCTTTTGGCTCTTTTGTTAGGAAAGCATCAACCAGGAGTAGATAAACCTGATCCGAAAACATGGAAGGCGAATTTTCGATGTGCCATGAACTCCTTGCCTGACATTGAAGAAGTCAAGGATAAAAGTATAAAGAAAGGAAACAATGCCTTCAGAGTATACCGGATGTTGCCGTTATCTGAAAGACCTTCTAAGAAAGGTAGATAAAGAAATTTACTGATGAAAACCGTGATCACTGAGTATATATTGTAGTACCCTTGTGATTTCATTATTTCCACATCCGTTGTCACTCCATGGATGGAACAGTAGTTCACACTGTGGATGATGGTCCTGCCTTTACCTGGCTGGGGAAAGTGACTGTCCAGTCACCAAAGACAGTCAAAGAAACATTTGGAATTTTGACCACGTATAGATTAAAACATGTACAGGTTCAGTGAGAGTTTCAGAAAGAATTGAGGGGAAATGTCTTCTCTGTACGTTCTTCACGAGTTAATTCAAAACTATTCTATATGTTGCCACAGGAAAGAAACCAAAGACAGAAAAAGAAGACAGAGTGAAGCACATCAAGGTAATCTTTGGTTGTTCAGAGAGAAAGCCAAAGTTGTGACCGTATTAATGATTCCTATTCTGTCTCATGAAAACAAGTCATGGGATCTCTGTGAAGTATTTAACCTTTCTTCTTTGGCTGTCGTGTTTTATGTGCTTTTCATGTATCCTCTTTGGCATGTCCCCTCGTGTAGACTCCAGCACGCATATCCCCTGCTTAATGCAATTCCACTGAGCAGTTTATGAATGAAGTCACAAATTCACACTGAGCTGGACTCCAGCCTCCATCTGGTCCCCAAGACTGTTGCCAGCTGGTCACTTAGTTTCAGCTGAGCTCCAGCAACCAGCTACTATCTGATCACGTGAAGTATATTTTTAGGCTGTTAAATATATGTAATGTATATTAAGTATTATACACTTAATATTAAAATGTAGCATCTATACGTTATGTGTATATTCCATGACAGGCCGTTAAGTTGGGGGCACAGTGGCCCGTTGGAACACCCTGTTAGTGTGGTTCTCAGGAGATTCTTTCTGCAACCGCCCCCCGCCCAGAACTACTTCTCAGGACTCCCAGGGGTTTTCCATAGGGGTGTGTTTGTGTGTGTGAGCTTTTCAGTAGGCTGTGTAGTCTGGAATCCCCTGTGGCCTGAGGATCTTTGTGCCTAGATTGCGTAGCTCTTGTTAAATAGCCAGAGAAGAGCCAGATGTCCCCGGAAAATGGAGGATGAGTTTCAGTGGACAAGCAAAGAGCAGACACTACATTCCCAGGCCTATAGACCATCGAAGAGAAGATTGTCTTAGGGTTCACTGCACTCCGTTTGCAGGTAGAGAAACTGAGGCTAGAGGGAGTAGAGTGACGTGGGCCCAAAGGCTGTGTAGGTTATGTGGCCAAAGTCACATGGTCATTTAGAACTGACCTTAAAGGGGATGCCAAGTATTCTGATTCCTAACCCAGAATCACTGTCAAAGAAAAAATCCAGAGTGTCCAGACAGCACGATGTTTAAAAGCAAGCCAGTTAGTAAAATAGAAAGAAAAAGAAAACAAGACAATTTACTTCTGCTATAAAGTTAATCTTGTGAAGATAGATGGACTTTGAGGGGAAGCTGAGATAAACTGTTAAAGTGTTGGACATACTCACCTTCCATTCACAGTGGAAAACAAACATTTTAGGCAGTGTATGTTAGGCAACCTCCAGTTTCACTCTAAATATTTTTACTTTATGACTTATTTTGAATACAGAGTGGTACTAAGACCTAATTTTGTTTTAACTTAAAAAAATTTTTTTTAAACATTTAATTCATTTTTTGAGAGACGGACAGAGCATGAGCAGGGGAGGGGCAGAGAGCAAGGGAGACGCAGAATCCGAAGCAGCCTCCAGGCTCTGAGAGGTCAGCACAGAGCCTGATACGGGGCTTGAACTCACGGACCGCAAGATCACGACCTGAGCCGAAGTTGGAAGCTTAACTGACTGAACCACCCAGGTGCCCCAGTTTTAACTATTTATTGTAGAAAATGTTTATGCACACAGGAAGGAGACAACTGAGTAAAATTTACTCTGCAACCATCACCCTAATTTCCACATTAATCAGCTCATGGCCCTTTAATTTCAGTCCTGGCCCCATCGCTTCCCCCCCCCCCCGCCATCCCATATGAAATTGCAGATTTCAGGCAACCGTTTTTTTTAAAGGTTTATTTTTGAAAGAGAGAGTGCAAGTGGGGGAGGGACAGAGAGAAAGGGGGACAGAGGATCCAGAGTGGGCTCCGTGCTGACAGCAGTGAACCTGATATGTAGCTCGAACTCATGAACGGTGAGATCACGACCTGAGCTAAAGTCGGATGCTCAACCGACTGAGCCACCCGGGTGCCCCATAGATAGCCATTTTTGATTCCCAAAAACCATTTTATATGGTTCAGCTCACTATTCTGAAGCAAAATCCACATCATATCATTTTTCCCCCCATAACTATTTCAGGATATACTTTCCAAATATGGGCACTCTTTAAAAATTGTTATCAACACAGTATCATTATTGCATCTGAAAAATTAACAGTAATTCCTCAAGCGCATCAAATATCTGGTGAGTGTTCAGAATCCCAGTTGTTTCGTAAATGATGTAATTTTTGTACAGTCTGTTTACTTGAATTAGAATCCGTATACAGTTCACACACTTTGGTTGGCGGTACGTCTTACAAGTGTTTTTTAACATATAGATCTTCCTTAACATCACTTTAAAAAAATTTATTTTTCCTTGCAGTTGAAAAAACCTAGTCATTAGTTTTAAGTTTCCCGGAGTTTGGATTTTTTTTTTTTTTTTTTTTTAGGGCCTACATTTTAATTAATGTTGTTGAGTCAGAAAAGTTGAACTTCCCCACAAATATGTGAGTTTGAAGAATTTGCTACATCTTAGGTATGACTGTCATATCTTCACTGTTTTTGTAGCATCTAGCTCAGTGCCTGGTAGGGAACAGATACTTAATACATATTTGATCACTAAATAGATGCACAAATAAATATAAGGTGTGAGGTGGGAGCAGGGGGGTTTACATTGCAACACAGATTTAATTTCAAAATCTCTGTTAATAGACAATAAGAAGGGAGTAACAGATGTTCACTTTCAATAAACCTTGCTCAAACATATCTACCGTACTCCATCGAAAAACAGACGCCAGCGATTATATGATACGCCATTATCTTAGGTATGTCCAAGCAAGAAAAGCTGCTTGCAGTGAAACCATGGCCCACAATTGATTACCAGGCAATCCTATTTTAGGGCTGTGGAGATGCGCTTCTTAGAATTGATGACCCTTGCTGTTCTCATCAGAGAAGACGTCTTCAGTCACGTCAGCAATGGCGGTATCTTCCATATGGCCGCTCAGTTGTGGAAGGGACGGCCCCGGGCGAGGTGTGGCCATAGTGGTCCAGGGGAGCGAGAAAGAGCTTTCCTCTTACGTGCAGCTGTGTAGGTGAGGTTCTATCCCAGCCAAGTGCATATTGCGCAATCTTCCACTGATGACGGTATGGCTAATACCTGAGACTTGTCCCTCAGACAGACCTTGTTCCTTCGGCAGAAGGCAGGCGATTCATCAGCCGTAAGCACAGCCTACCTTTTGAACTTAAATCTGCTTGCACCTGTCCCACATTGTAGCAGCAGAGTATAGATAAGGCCAGTAACCTTCCCAAGTTCTGTGGCTCATGACTGCCAAAGCCAGTGTGTTTCCTGAAACGTTTGTGTAGATTGTTTCTGAAGTTAGCTCTCCAGGTTGCCTGGAATCGTACAGTTCAAGGGCTTTATCCTTACTGAGCTGTTAATATGTTACTTTTGTCACAGTGCCTGAGCTCTGAGTTAATGTGTCCTGTGCAGTGTGCACCTGGGTAGGCCAGATAGGTTTCTTGCACAGAGAAAGTTTGCCTTGTGTCTAGTAACCGGGTAGGAGAATTTGCTATTGAGACAGGCTCCTTCCCGTCTTCATTGAGTTCAAGTTGAAGTCTTAACTAGTAAATGATGTTTCGAACGTGTGGGCTAAGTGTCAGCATTTTTCTTGGGTAGGTCAGGCAGTTTCTGCCCTTGCTCTGTGTTCCCTCAGCCAGGAGCTTCCCTGACACTGGGAAACTGAGGCCCATCGGCTACGCAGTAGGTGCAGAAACTCTGCCTCGATGTTCCTCAATGTTCTCTTTGTGAATATGTATGCTCTGAGCTCAGTGGACCATGTTTTACTGGAACCAGGCCTTGCCTGAGTGGAGGTAACCATCTAAGGAAGTAAGACTGAGACACACAATAGTGAGCAATACTGTGTTGTGCATCCTCAGTGCGTATATGCGTTTCAAAAACATCACAAGGCCAAGATCAATAAGGAGAGAAGTGGATAAACAGAGGGGTGGTAGCTGACATTTTAGAGCCAGGTTCTACCAAGTTCTGAGCTCTAGTTATTATGTCATTGAGCTCTCCCTGTGATGGGCAGGTTATGAGGAAATGGCAGCACAGGGGGGTGAGTAATTGCCCTAAGGTAGCACGGCTTTTGAAACTGGGATTTGAATCCGGGTCACTCTAGCTTTGGAACCCACACTCTTTCACCACACCTGGTGCCTCTTGGCCTTTCAGAAGCTGTGGGACCCGAGCCAGGCTTTGGGGCAGGGATCAAATAAAATGGTCGTCAATCCCTGGCACCAGGAGCATCAAATGAAGGCCGGGAAGTTAGAGTTGCTGTTTGGTCTTCCCTGGATGAGTCAGGAAACTGGCTTAATTAGAGCAGGAGTCTGTGTGAGGCAACAGTGGGAAACAAAGACTGTGGGTGAGGAGGATTAGAAATTAATACTTCCTGCCTCACTGGATTGTTTGCAGATGAAACAGACATGCTTTGAAACTGTAAAGTGCTTCCAGATCAAAGCATTGGTGCTATGATGGGAACTATATTTGAGGAGGTTCCTCTAAAGCCACTTGGTCAAGACCAGGCCTGGTCTGTATTAGTTCTGACTGCAGACCTCTGGGTAGAAGTTACAGAAAAGCAGGTATTTGGTTTTTATTAAAAACATTTTTTCTAATGTTTATTTATTTTGAGAGACACAGCGCAAGTGAGGGAGGGGCAGAGAGAGGAGATGCAGAATCCGAAGCAGGTTCCAGGCTCTGAGCTGTCAGCACAGAGCCCGACGCGGGGCTCGAACTCACGAACCGCGAGATCACGAGCTGAGCTGAAGTCAGACACTTTAACTGACTGAGCCACCCAGGTGCCCCTGTTTTTAGCACAACTTTCTTTCTTTATTTTTTTAAATTTATTTACTTATTTTTGTGAGAGAGACAGAGAGAGCGAGTGGGGGAGGGCAGCAAGAGGGAGAGGGAGAATCCCAAGCAGGCTCCTCGCTGTCAGCACGGAGCCCGATGTTGGGCTCGAACTCACAAACCGTTGTTAGATCCTGACCTGAGCCAAGACCGAGAGTCGGATGCTTAACCAAGTGAGCCACCCAGGCACCCCTAGCACAACTTTCTAACTGAGCTGTTGGCTCTAACAGTGACTTGAGCTGGATTAAAAACAACATGCTCCCTTGTCACTGTCCGAAGACCACCTGGCAGGCTGCTCCTGGAGCGATCCCTTCCTTGGTCGGAAGAGGTCTTCAGTTTTTAAACCTTAATCAGGTGAAAACACAGGCTGACAACCCACTTGAACAGGTAATGAGAGCTGCCCTGGATGGAGCAGGGGAGAGGGCTTGCCCCAGGTGCCTCCTCCCACTCTTGATAGCTCTCGAGGGTACCGCTCAGAGCACAGTGCCAAGGCTGGGGGGGTTGAATAACCTCTCTGGATGATGTTGTGCAACAAGGCATGGTTGAACTCCTGGGGTAAGATCAGAGCACGATGGAGTTGATATTTGGGAGTAGGAAGGAACGGAGGAGAGGAGACCACACTGGGCAAGTGTAGATGAAGGTGGTGGCAGTTGGAACGGAGAGGAGGAGAGTTTGGATGGGAGGTAGAGGGTGAAGACAGGAGTGGATCAAAGAGGAGACCCTGAGTCCAGACCCTGAGTCCAGTCCTGTCTGTCTTCCCTTATTAAGACAGAAGGGAATGTTGGGAGTGGAGCATGTTTTGTGGAGAAGAGGGTGAGTTTAACTTGGGACGCGTTGAATTTGAGATGACAGAGACCCCTCTGCAGCCAGTGTCACGTAGAAAAGTCGGATCTAGCAGGCCCCAGAGCTCAGGTAAGCGTGGGTGCGCAGGAGTGTGGTCATGTACTCAAGAACGACACTGGAGGCCTTGACAACAGATGTCTTCTCCAAGGAGGAGCTGTATGAGATGTTAAAGCAGAAACCCAAGGACAAGACGAAGAGAAAAGGGAGCCAAGGAGAGAAGTCCAAAGGAGGTTGCATTGAGAGTAGGAAGAGAATGAAATTCTAGGGAAGTCCTCGTTCTAGGGAAGGAAGGAAGGTGTCGTAGGACTGCGCGGGAGGCGTCAACCTGTTTATTAGAGTTCCTGCTCTTAGCGGCTTCATGGTGTGGAGTGTGGAGTCCCGTGGGCATTTATGGAGCCCAGCCATCAACCTGAAATTTTAGTTAGTAGAGAGATCCAGAGATGTCCTTCAATGTGGCGTCAAGGAGACAGGCTTTGCACAGATGGATTCGGGCATTTCTGGCAGTAGGGGGCTGGATTGCCCGTGGAAATGGTCATACGGCCATTGTATTTGGCCTCGAGGAGAGGGATGTCTGGACAAGGGGCTGTGGCACAGGAATGAGATGGAACTGGCTTGGAGCCGAGGGCTGAGTGCCCCTTGCTGGCCTCTGACTCGGTCCATCCCCAAACCCCTCCAGCAAGTACAGCTTTTGAGACCAACCAAAGATGTGTTACTTTAGAGGTCTAAAGAGGACAGCCCCTGCCCTTGCACTCTCTCTTGTGCCAGTTTGCTTTTGCCTAAAATCCCTTTCAACTGCAGACCAAACTTTAGATTCTATACTGAGAAAAAAGGTTCTTGGGCATAAATATTTGGCAGAGTGAATGCACCATGGAGGGGTCTGAACCTAAGCCTAATCTTTGATTTTCTTTGGGGCAGGTTGGAAACCAAAACTAGCTGATTCACAGGACAGCCTATCTCTAAACTAAGAAAGGGAACTGAAAGAGGAGGCTGGTTCAGGATTAATCTGGTCCTGAGATGGTACAGCAAGGCAGGGGACAGGGCAGGCATGGGGCACCATACGGGACCAGGAGATGCTGGACAAAGACCTCTATGCACGTGTTCCATAGAGAACTGTGCACCCCCTTGCTTAGTTTGACTTCTTTGCTTTTTAAAAAAAATTTGTTAATGTTTGTTTATTTCTGAGACAGAGCGAGAGAGCGTGAGCCGGGGAAAGGCAGAGAGAGAGAGAGAGGGAGACACAGAATCTGAAGCAGGTTCCGGGCTCTGAGCTGTCAGCACAGAGCCCGATGCAGGGCTCCAACTCACAGACCATGAGATTGTGACATCACTGAGCTGAAGTGAGAGGCTTAACTGAGTGAGCCACACAGATGCCTCCCCCCCACCTTTTTTAAAGTATATAGTTTAGGTTTGACTAAGTACAGTGAAGATCCTTTTGTTTTGTGCCCTGCGTGGAGACCTTCCGGATAGGCGCTGGCTACATCTTGCTCTACAGTGTACTCTTACTGTCCTTCCAGAGGGATGATACCAGCGACGTGGTTTGCGCTGAAGATTTCAAAAGCAACAGGGCATTCCTGAAGTAGGATGTTCGAAATAGTCTGACTCATCTCCGTTGGAAGAGCGTGCTGTTTGTTGCGTTAGAGACGTAGCGCGGGACACAGGGTAGGGATGGGGCGGGAAGTAACACAGTGTTGAAAATACTTCTGTCTGAATCTCTGTGGGGATTAGCGCAGGGTTGATTAAGACAGAAAGCTCCTGGAATAGGATCATGTTGCGTGACCAAAGACGGAGTTCGGTTCTTGTATCTCCTTAGGCTAAAAGTAGTGTGATCTTGGAAAATTAATTTAGTCTCTGAGTCATAGTTTTCTCAAGTGTAAAGTTGATAGAAGTATCACTTGCCACTAATTAAACTGTAGATCATGCGAAGCACTTGAGAGGTCTTCAGCTGAGATCAGAATAATTTAGGTCTTTAAATCTATGCACGTCTGGCTGCCTCATTACTTTTATAAGCAACCTAGAAGCAGAGTGAGTAAAAAATAACTTGACAACCTAAGAGAGCCATAAGGATTAGCAGTTCCTTTCCTAGTTCCTTAAGATGTTCTGCACATAGTTCCTTTTGGGCAATTGCGGAAGAATGGATAGCGGGGTGTGACCAGGGAGGGAGATGTGGAAAGGGGGCCGCCGAGAAAGCAGCGAGAGAGGCAGGTGGCATCAGAGGTGGGGGATTAACACCAGACGGTCACATCGTCAGGAGGGATAGTGCGTTCCCCCCCTGTTGGATGTCGGAGTATGGGGTTGCGGGACGGGAGTTAAGACAGGTCATTGCAGTCGCAAGCAGTTGTATTGGTGATCTTGAATAATAGAAAGCATTTATTTGATGCTAAGTGCCAGGGGCATATTTGTCTCATTTAATCTTCACATCATCCCTGGGACCTGGGTCCCTTATTGTCCTCAGCTTACAGCTGTCTACAGTGCCCTAGAAGAGGCTTGAAGAGGGTTAAATGAGGTCCTGCATCCAGCACAAGGTGGAGGAACCAGGCTTCGAGCCCAGGTCCGTGTGACCGCAAAGCCTGGCAGACAACAGGCGTGTCCTCCCGGCCCCACAGGAGCCGGGAGCTTGAGCCCGCGGCTGGGGTGGTGGCCCCACCCCAGGCTCTAACAAGGGTACGGGTGGGGAGGCCACGGTGGGAAAGGCAGACACCTGTTCAGGAGTTTGGCAGTAAAGGAAGAGAAACGATGGAGACTCGTGTCACAGGCAAGCGAGTGTTCCCCAGAACGGGCAGAGTTCCTATCTGGACTTGTACAAAGGGGGAGACGCAAGGCGCTGCAGGAGAAAGGGAGAAAGGGGTAAGACTGCGCCAGGGGGGCCTATCCTGGGCCCTTCTCCTGTTTGCCCTTTGGGGCCTCTTGTCGGCCGTGCAGTGTGGAAGTTTATTAGGACTGAGCTACGTGGTGAGGTGGTGCCTTCGAGGGTAGAGTGAGTTACCACGGTGGGAGTCGGCCAGGTGGGGTCATGAAGGAAGAGGTTAATTTCTTCCTCCTTCCCTAAGACTTTTGGGGAGGGGGTGTTCATCCCTGATTCCAGGTAGCCCGTAAATACATGGGTAAGACTAGTCGGCATGCCTCGGAGGTGCCACCACTCTGGATTTTTCAAACCACAGGCATATGCAAATGCAACCTGACCTTGAGGAAAAGCTGCCTCATCAAAATGCTGAAAGTCCATAGGCACCTCAGCACTGGCTCCCCCAAAGTTGGTTGGCTTTCTCAGAGTTCGGAGGGCTCCGGTGGGCTTGAACAAAGCAGAATGGAGAGCTACACTAAGGAAAAGGAATTTGTTGCATTGTTTCAATAGCATGAACAAGTAGCCTCTCGGGCGGCCCGGGACGTTCACGCACTCGAAAGGCATTTACGTGTAAGCCCTGGGCGTGGGCTTGCCCCACTGGACTCCCGTGGCGGGGAGGAAGCCTTCCACTTGGTCTGGCCCGTGTTGTCCGCCAGCGGCCCAGAGCAGGGTGCTCAGGTGACCAGGGCCCAGGGCAAACCTTACCTGAGGAGAAGTCGTTCACAGAGTCCCCTGGGTTCCTGTTCTTGGCGCAATGGTTGAGGCGGACCTTTTCCTCGGAAATAATTGTAGAAGACGTGGCATGATTTCTCCCCTTAGAAAGCCAGGAGTTGGCCCTCTTGAGCACCCCGTCTCTCAGAGAAGGAAGATCTGGCAGCTAGGCACATAGTTACGCAGCCCTGCTCAACCCCCAAACTGTCCTCTACAGGTGTAAGCATTTCATAAACGCAAACCAGCTTGCTGGGACCCTTTCCTAGAAGGAAAAGAAGAGAAGGCCGTACGTGGTAGGTCTAGTCTATGCAGAAACATGCTTCTTTAGCTTCAGGCTGATTTAAATGAGCAGGGAACGCGTTCAGGAGACGAACATGACCCTAGCGTTAAAGAAAGTAGACAGAGGGTAGAGTTGAAGCTAAGAAAAAGGAGGGAAAAGGAAGTGTTCTCAATTCTTTTTTCTTTTCTTCTTCCTAGCAAGAACCAGTTGAGTCATCTTTGGGGCTTAGTAATGGAGTAAGTGATCTTTCTCCTGAGTATGCCGTCCTGACTTCAGCTATAAAAAATGAAGTGGATAGTACGGTGAACATCATAGGTAAACTGTTTTGACATCTCATTTTTCATACACACAAGCAGCCCCCCGGGGTCTGAAGTTTGTAAAACGTGATTTGAAATAACATAGTCAGGGGGAGGAGGTCTTGGAACCATCGGAAAACGCAAAGTTCCAGCCGCTAGATTTCAGGGCTGAAAAAGAAAGACCTCTGAGGTCAGATAAAGGAGCTTGCGATGGGTCAGCCTCAAGAGTGACTTCCCCGGAGAGTCCGGTAGGTGAAATGGGTTTTTTTTTTTTCTCCCAGTGGCTCACGATCAGCAGTTCTCCGTCTTTCAGTAAGCGGTCATGTGGGCAAAAGTGTTATTCATTTAACTTGGGACCCAGGAGAGGGAAGACTGTCCTCGTGGGTCCTCTCTGCTCCTGCTCCCTGGCATACCTCCCATACAAGCGGTGCTCGTTCTTACAAATGAAGGAACTGAGGCACAGAGACCTGTTGCCAGAGGGCACACTTTGATTCCCCAAAGATTCTTGAGCGCCTTCTGTATACCAGACTCCGAGCTAGAAATAGGTTGAGGGGCAAGACAGTCTCTGTGGAAGGACAGTCAGTCACCACACAGCGCCACAGATATCTACGGCGATCACATTTGAGAAGAATGCTGCAGAGAAAAGAACAAGAGGGAATATCCGGGGCCGGATTTAGATTGGGGGCTTCGTGAAGGAGTGGCATTTCCTCTGCAGTGGGTGGGTGAGGAGGGGCCGCGTGGGGCGGGCCCCAGAACTGTGGGACACGGACCTCAGTGTAGGAACCCACTTGGAGGACTAGGAGGAAATCCAGAGGGGCCGAACGCCCCCTCCCCATCAGAGGGGGACACAGGGTAGGCTCCTGGGGGCCTGTGCAGGCCATGGGAAGGACTCTGGATCTTATTCCCAAACTGCCAGAGGGTATGTTTCAAAAAATACGTATTTTTAAATTTTTATTATTTTATTTAATTTAAAAAAATTTTTTTAATGTTTATTTATTTTTGAGAGAGAGACAGAGTGCGAGTGGGGGAGGGGCACAGAGCGAGGGAGACACAGAATCTGAAGCAGGCTCCAGGCTCTGAGCTGTCAGCCCAGAGCCCGATGCGGGGCTCGAACCCACGAACTGTGAGATCATGACCTGAACTGAAACCAGGAGTCGGACGCCTAACCGATTGAGCCACCCAGGCACCCCAAATATATATATATATTTTTATATTGAAGTATAACAGACAGTAAAGTGCACAACCGTTTTACATACACCTGCAATATAAACACCACTCCTTGGAGGGTTTTCGGCAGGAGGGTGACCATTGTGAATTTCATTTCAACCAAGTCCCATTGGGCCACTGCACTGAGTGGACGGTGGGGGTTCTGTGCAGGAGTGGAGGCCCGTGACCTTGTCTTCCAGCTCCAGCCCCAGAATCCACAACCAGGCTTTGCCCTCAGGCGCCTTTGGGTCCCTTAAACCCTTCCCTATTTTGTAGCCTGTCAGGGCTTCTGATGCTGGTGAGAACCAGTGAGATCACGCAGAACTATGAGACCAAACCTCCTGTCCAGGTACCTTCGTTTCTGGATCCTTAGCTGAGTACTGATGGGAGGCTACGGATGATGGATGCTGTAAATGTCACTCGCCCCTCCTTCCCCCTGGGTTCTGGCGACTGGGAAGTAGGATGATGTATGCAGGGACTCCCCTGAACGCTGCGGGCTTTGGCAGAGTGCCGTGTGAAGGAAGGACGGGAGCATATGTTGCGAGCTCGCTGTATCAGGGCAGATAATGGCCCTGCCTGCCAGGCTTCCCTTCCTCGGCAGGCAGGCGGTCTCTGGAAAGCCTTCCCCATTGAGCCCTTTAAAAAGAAACAGCAACAACAAGCTAATTTGCCAAGACTCCAGGCACTTTTTCTTAAGATTCAGCTATTTCCAGGGAGCTGGTGGGTTTTGCGCTACCCTTCATTTATGGGGTGAATTCAGCCTCAGATAAAGTGGCAAACAAAAGCCAGAGTGGTATCAGAGGGGTTTTTCTGGGCTTCCCCCCCCCCCCCTTAAACATTTGGTTGAGTCTTTGGCATGTAAATTCTCTGTCAGGTTGATTGTTCTTTGCCCTTTCGGTAGGATTAGTGCTCTAGGGGCTGGTGCTAATTTAATGAGTCATTACTTCCTTACTTCCGGGCAAAGACTGGAGGCCCGGCTTGGTGTAGAACTTGATTACATGAGTCTCTTCCTTGGCCTAATAATAAAATAATAATGGACGCAGTAAAAGGAGTTTGAATATCTTTAATCCGTTGGTGGCCCTCACAACGGTGTATAATAATATACCAAGTGGGTCCATACAAGCATTTTAAAGGAATGGGTGATTGGTGATCCTTGTTAACAGTAGCTCTGTCTCCAGTTTTAAACCCTTCACAGATTTTTTTTGGTCTCCACGCCCACGTATCATTAATTAGCCGTTCCCAGCCTGTGTGACTTGTGGACGGAGGTGAGAGACACAGGGATTCTGATTCCGAGGCCACTGTGGAATTTGAGAGATTCGGTTTCTCTTAACCTTTTAAAAACGCTTTATTGAAAACTGACACCCGTTTCTCGCGTTCAGTTCATCTGTTTCTAAACCCGGGGTTCATTCCAGTTTTGTGTTTAGGCACCAAGAGGAAAACTTCCAGATGTTTTCATTCTACTTTTATAAGCATTGTGTTGATAGGGTTAAAATTGGGAACTGAAATGAGTACTTGATATGAGAGCAATTTTTTACACTGTCTGTAAGCTCTTAGGTAGGGAAATAGATTGAAAATCAATACGTCAAGTCAGTGGAGGCCAGCCACCCAGGACATTTTTATTCCAGACAGGGTAGAGGTTATTGTAAGTGAATCCAGTTCAGTGTGGAGAAGGAGAAACGGGGAACGGACCGTGGCCCGGACGCAGGGACTCTTGCTTGATTGCTGTTCTGTTTGACTTTTATTGTTGCCAGAGGTGATAGTGGTTAGTCACACGCAGGCTTACAGGCACACGCACACTTGTGGCCGTCGGCGGGCTGGGTCCTGGGCTTGCCTTCTTGTCCATAACTGCTGAATGCACTTTCAGATGTGCCTAGTGGTGCACAGCAAAAGGGAGCACAGTGTCTCAATACTTAAGATTTGTCTTTTTACTTACTTATTTTTTTTTTGAGGGAAAGAGGGAGCAATTGGGGGGCGGGGGGCAGGGTGGAGACACACACACACACACACACACACACACACACGCAGAATCCGAAGCAGGCTCCACGCCAACAGGCTGACGGCAGGGAGCCCGATGTGGGGCTCGAGCTCACCAACTGTGAGATCATGATCTGAGCTGAAGTCAGACGCTCAACTGACTGAGCCACCCAGGCGCCCTGGGATTTGTCTTTTAATGTTCCATCTCTCCTGTCTGATTAAACACACAGGTTAGTGTATAAGATAGCCCAAAGACCCACCCCTGCTTTCCTTTTAAGGAGTGGGGGGGAGAAAACTCCCTTATTTTTATTTTTACTTTTCTTTAGCATTGAATTCTGTCTTGTGGGGGGGGGGGGGGAGGACTTCTGTTTTTAGGAAGCGGAAGACGCCAGCAACATGTTGAATTGTTCTGCCAATACCCCCTGGCATCTTGCCCAGGTTAGCAGCGCTTTTGCTGAGCCGTATTGAAATCATCTCCGGGCCAGTGTAAAAAGTTTGCAGGTGCGGACATTCTGTCTGACTTGCCCAGGCAGTGCTTTACAACCCCATTGTGTTTCTTGATAAAAGGTAACCCCACCCTTCAATAAAGCAAAGATTGCCGTGTAACAGAGGAGGCTATTCATTGCTCCAAAGTAAATCGAGCAACCCTTAGTAGTCACGAATAACAATTAGGAAACAATGTAATTTGAATTTTGTCTGGATTTTTGTCTGCCCAAATGCACCTTATGGGATGTATGTACTTCTTTTGGTAATTGCTTCCAAATTTGACTGGCTTTGGAAGCAAAGCTTGGTAGCTCTTTCGGACAAGCTTAGGAGCTCAGGTATCACCAGGAAGGACCTGCGTTGGAAGAGAACAGATTCGCGACGTGGGTCCCCACGAGGACCTCATGGTTATGACTCAAGGTTGGCAGCCTCTGGCACCAGAATTCCTAATGCTTTGAGGTCGACCAAAGGTTGGTGCTAGGCGGTAGAATTATGTCTTCATCTTTTCCCAGCTCCTTTGCTCACCCTTCTTTTGTTTGCTGTTTTTCCTGGTGCTTAACATGTAAAAAAAAAAAACAACACAAAACTTCATCAACAAGATAAATAATAGCTTGAGGTGGCTCTGTATTTTTTTTCATATTTTTTAAAGTTTATTTATTCATATAGAGAGGGAGAGACAGAGAGACAGAGAGACAGAGAGAGAGTGCAAGAGGGGAAGGGGCAGAGAGAGGGAGAGACAGAATCCCAAGCAGGTTCCGAGCAGTCAGTGTAGAGCTGGACGCAGGGCTCGAACTCACTAACTGTGAGATCATGACCTGAACTGAGATCACACGTTGGACGCTTAACCAGCTGAGCCTCTCAGGGGCCCCGTGAGGTGGACCTTTAGGTGGAAGGCATTCCCTGGCAAGGGAGAGGGAGTGAAGGTCTTCCGTGCTCCTTCTCGGGGTGGGGGGGGGGGGGCTGCGCCTCCTGCCTGTTTCTGGGAGGGCTGAGCTGTTCACCCCCTCACGAGACAAGGCATCCGGTTCTGTTAGGACTAGAAAACGCAGAGCAACATGAACCCCCACGTGAGACGTGAACCCAGACCCAGAACCCATAGTGCACCTTATTTTTCTCCGGTGGACCCGGCCTGGAAAAGCCTGGTCCCAGAGATGGGCCTGTGCGGGACGCTCTACGTCACCATGAGCGTGCAGAGTTCTGGCAGTAGTCTGAGCTATGTCTTTTCAACCTTAAGAAGTTTTGATTTGCCCAAGAAACCTGCCATCCTTTCATGAGGCTAAAGGTTTCTCACCTTCCCCTCTGCCTTGCCGCTCCCACCTCATTTATAATTAACCATCAGCTCCTCGGGTTTCTCAA